ATTATTTTAGAGGAAAAAACATGCTATCAAACAATTAAGTCAAATTTTGCTCTGAAATTATGGTGATAACATCTGCTATTACTCTGATACTACAAAGATAGGAAAGGGCAGACACACCCAGAAATATAACAACAGCGCCAAAGCCATCAAGTCTATAAAGGAGAAATCTCCAGGTCCTGGTTGCAGCAAGTCACTAGTGTAAAAGTTGCTTTAAATTGAATAATTTGAATCTAATCCAAACTGGATATCATTTCAACTTTTGTAAGTGTGAAGTAAACAGCTCTAAATAACACTTTAGATGATAAAATCTGGACATACTAATAGTATGTACTGAACCTAGGATACCTGTGATGTTAAATGCAAAACTTACAGAAGTACACTGTGACGCACTGAAGCTCTTTTTTCCCCAGTAAAATCGTCACCATTCTCCCTAGGAATACCGTAACTGAATGAAAGCAAGAAAACAAAAGCAGCAAGTCTCATTTTAAAAATCACTTCAAAAATATTATTTTGAATACTAAGCTGGAGAAGTTTAGGTACTTCAGTATTTTCAAAATCAAATTATAAGACAAACAGTAAGAAAAAAAGTTACGTTTTCATCCAAGTGACTGAAGCAATGTTGTAATGCATTTATTTATTAAAGCAAGCAATATTCAAACACAAGGCACACGCCCATAAATTCCTATTCTTTTATAGCTTGCATTACAAAAAAAAATTTCATCTGAATGGTTTATTCTCAAAGTTTACTAAAGGGTAAAATTTGTCACAAACTCCTTGAAGTCTGAACTTTTTGATTTAGCATATAAAGTTTGTTCTTTACATTGGGGATAATTAAAAAATAAAATTATACATTATTTACTAAATTGGTTTCTAGATGAAAAAACTCATCATGAATTCAGATAAATACCTACTACTTGTTTTATCAGGACATGACCTTTAAAACAGTGAACTTTAGATTCCAAAAGACTAAGCCAGTATTAGCATCTGTCATGATGCTCTCATCAGAGTGACTACAATTACTGCCACAAACAGCCAGTGTTATACCAACAGAAACAGCCTGCTTCCATAAGGAATGGGGTCACTAAAAAGAACAAGGAATTCGTAGTAAGTTGATTCTATAAAAGGGAAAATCTGATTAGAGATGGCAGGGAAAGGGAGGCAGATTTTCTGGAGATGGGGAAGGAAATTAAGGCCTGGTGATGGAGGAAAAGGAAATCAAATATGATCAAGGTATGACTTATATACATTTGGATTCCCTCTAAAATGAGCATAAATATTCTTTATCACAAACAGACCACTTATTAAAAAGAAATAACTAGTCATGTTAAGTAAAATAAATACCTCTCACTTTTACCTTAAAATAGTAAATGGTAATGATGTTTTCTATCCAGACTACTATGAAAACTATGGAGACTTGTGAAAAAAAAAAAAAAAGGTTGGAAACAGATTACCGAGTAAGCAAGGCTTGATTCTGATTCTTCACTGCAAACTACACAGTGCTCAGGAACTTGGCTGGCGACTGTATAGAGCATCGAGTCAGGCTTCACTTGCAGTGAAGGAACTAAGGCTGGGAAGTCGAGACTCATCGGAGGTCACGGTTTTGTTTGCGCCTCAGCTGACAGGGCAAGTCCAATCTACATGACACAGCTAGGTCCAGTGTCCACCTTGAGGGCTTTGCATTTAGCTTTGTCATAATTTACTTTACAATTGGCACACAAACAATCCCTTCACTGGGAATTATTAACAGACAGATGACTTTCGTCACCGCTCTTACAGAATGCCATGGACTGAAATAGAGACAACACACTCCTCCCAGCCATTAGTCACGTCTGTCCACCTGAAAAATTAATCTAGATGACAGTCTTTTTCTTATGGGAATAGGACACTCCTTCCCGAGTTCAATATTCAATAAATCTAACATAAATAACAGAGTATACTCTTTATCCACGAACCTCCAAACTGTACAGAAGAGAATAGGCTGGCAGTTCTCAAATCATGGGTCTCTAAAACCAATGTTTTGGCTTATTTAAAAATAACTCATTGTGTGCTAAACATGACACTTTTGAAACTATTTTCCCAAGTGAAAAACTTCAGTGAGACAACCTTTAATGTTCCATATTTTTGTAAGACCATTGTTTTGCTTATGAGAAGACAAATTCCTTTTTCACGTCTGCATTCAATGTGTATGATAGGTTTTGCCTCAAGCATCTGAAGAAAATGTGGCCTCATAGAGCTATGTTGTTGGAAAGGGGAAAATGTTTAATGGTCTTTTCAGATAACCATAAATATGCTACTATACTGACAACTGACAATATTTTCTTAAAGGTTAGTTGCAATATTGAAGCTGAAACCCCATCAATGAGCTTTTCATGAGTTATTACATAAAAATTCAATGCTCTATCTTCCACTGAGTGTATCTTTTACCAATCTGTGATTTCTGACTTCATAAACCGCTTTGAAATGACCTCAGGAACCTCCAATCCACACTTTTAAATCTATCAGAAAATATTTTAGAGTTCTAATTAAAAATAAAAGACACTATTAAACTTAGAAGCATTTTACATATTACCTTCATCCTTTACAATATTTAATTTAGTAATTTATTCATCATGACTTGCAATGGTTTATGACCACCAGAAGCTAAGAAACAGGGAAAAAGCTTGGATTTTGGTCCAAATGATACAAAATAAGACCCCAATGATGAGGCCTCAAAGTTAAATTATTATATCACATATACTGAAATCTGGGAAAAGATCTAAATAGCCTCTGATCTTTGAGGAAGGAACATAACAAACAGAGTTGAACAATACTAGGAAAGTTATAAAGAATTATTAATCTATAAGAGATTTTAAATAACATTAAAAGTTTTTATAGTCAAATGTTTGAAAAACTAAATTGGTACAAAACCAGCATATACACAAATGGACTATGTATCTCCTTTTACCATACTGCCAAACACAAGGAAGGGGTTCGCAAAAGGACACATGCCCACAAATGCAGGATAGGTTTAAAGTCAATGGACCACCGGTCAGGAGTAGATGCATGGGTTAAGTGTGAAAACTATAATTAAAATAATAAAAACATGGTACAGAACAAGCATAAGAATTAATGATTTTTGTTACCACAGCTCTGAGATTTCTACCCAAAATAACATTACCCAAAGCGACAGACTTCATAACTGAAAAAAGCATAAACAGAATCATAGTATCAAATACGTAGCACTAATCATTTTAAAACAAATCTAAGAAATTATAAAGATATCTCATTAAGTTACTTATTTTTTCAAATATTTCTTGTAAATATTTTATAGGTTTTCTATACCAAAAATAAAACAGATTAAAAAACTTTAAAACAACTAAAAAAGTAGATAATGATTACTGATGTACCAGAATATTTTTAGTCATTCCGATAATTCAACACATAAATTGTCTTGACTTAAAGATAGTATGAATTAATCCACTTTTGACAGATGAAACTACAGCAAATTCATAAACGTGGGCTAAGGGCCAGTGAGCAGCAGAACTGGTGATTCAACCTGGGCAGGGATGCCCTTAGCTCCAGTCCATGCCATCTCAGACTACATAAAACTATCACTTACAAAAATAGCCACATCATGCGCAAAAACTGCTCCTCCAAAAGCAGATGAAAGTGCCAGCAGTAAAACACACCGAGTTTTTGGTAACAGTCATGCTACCTTGTGACTTGCGTGCAGTTTGGAATTTAAGAGACGGCATTAAGGGTGGAATAGCTTATGCCGAAAGAGAGCTCTAAGAGTACAATGCATACTTTATGGAATGCTTGCCTCTATAAAAATAAGAGGAGCAAGGTTTGAGGCAGTGACAAGGAAAAGAACTTACACATTGAAAGTTTCTGTTTCTGTTTGGAAAAATAACAGTAGAGAGAGAAATACAGAGAAAAATAGACTCTATGATCTGTATCTGTTAAGAGCATGATCATACTTCACACAAGGTAAATGGATGAAAACATGTAAGTGTCTTTAGACATGTCCTTAGCAAACAGGGACCACAAACTATCCCTAGGCACCAAAGGAATGAACTATACATCGAAAATGTACTTTTTATATATCCACAAAGAATCATTTATCACAGTCATGTAATAAAACAGTACTAAAGCAAAGTCCAATGCAAGTATTCATTGCATAAGTTAGATCCACCCTTTCTCCACATATCTAAAACCTTTTCCTTCCTTGTTGTTCTAAATATATACAATGTGCTAACTGTAATAAGGAAAGCCAAGAGATATTTTACATTAATAAGTATGCTTCCTTACAGATCTGAAAACATATAAACATACCGAATTCCATACCACAGTGACATACATACTTCACTACCGGCACGACTAAGAAAGCAAAACTGTCCACTTAGAAATTTTAGTTTAAAAATCATCCAAAATTAAGGAAGTGATTTATTTGTATTGGAAAACTTCATATAATTAAGCTCCCTGAAAAGGGTGGAAAGATGAGAAACTTGTGGCTAACAGGTTTAGGGTTCAATTTTATGTTTTTCACAATCAATTATGTAATTAATAAGGAAAACTAAGGTGAAAAAGACTAAGCGCACAAGGAAAGTAATTTGATGCAATTGCAGTGAGTCTGCAAAAAGCTAAAAAAAAAAAAAAAAAAAAGACTTCCCTAGTCTGCTAAAGTAAACACAGTAACTGGCAGTAGAAAACAAACATTTTCCAAACACCTAAAAAGAGAATAGTAGAACATCTATTCTTCTTCAGGGTCAACATGGGTAGTATCTAAGAGATTTTTAAGAATTTTTTATGCCTCTGCTTCAAATAAAGTAATACCATTATACCAACAAGCAAACGGGGACCACCAACTATCCTTAAACAAAAACAAAACAGTAAACTGTTTGAAAAGTGCTGAAAGGTGCTTACATTTCTCAAACCTATATGTAGTTAACCTTCAACATTTTGCAAAGTTGTAATTTTCAAAGGACAAAAGACAAACAAGGAAAGAAAAATCAACTTACCTTGATACGTTTTCTGGAATGTATTCTAGGACAGGATATCCATCACTTCTTCTAGATGGCAAATCACCGTGTGATTTCCATGACTCTACTAAAGTACTGACAGGTGGAAAGGAGCTCAGGTGTTGGAAAGATTGGTCTCTCGTTGATCGTGACAAAGATATTGTACCTTGAGCACCAATCCTGTAGTGGAAGGACTGCCCACCTGAATTCACACCAACAATGGCAGATGCGGGGATGCCGGCCTCTGGGTAATAGCTCCCTTCATCTGGCTCTTGTTTAATCCCCATTGGGAATGCACTGCCTTCACAGCTACCCTCAAAGCCCGGCACAGGTGGTCCTAAAATTCCTGATAGAGAATAATAGTCTTTATCGTCCATAAAGGAAAAATACGAGCCATCCATAAATGGAAATGGGTTTACCGCCGGACTCCCTTTAAAAGAGGTGCCTGAACACGAATGCTTGGTGGGTTCTTGCTTTATTGGTACTGAGAATGGAGAATCAGAATTTATTTTGCCGTTTCCTCCTAGACACGAGCTGCTGAAAGTGCCATCTGGTTCTGGTTTGATGTACTGGACAATGTTGAGCTGGCTAGTCATACCACTGGAGACGGCATTCTCCACTTCCTCAGTCTTAGGAAAAGGGACCTCGTGAGCACCTTTCTCGTGGGTGTCTGGACTGGGAATCACATCCCGGGTGGCACCAGCTCCCACACAGTTGCCAGAAGCAGCGTAGCTGAAGGCATTGTTTAGAGGGCTGCATATGGATCCCACTGTACTGGCTGTCGGACTGGAAAGCGTGGATCTGTTGTTTGTGTTGGAAGGGCTGGAAACAGAGCACCTTGAGTTGTTGAGATTTGCAGGGCTGGACACAGAGGAGCGCAGAGTGACACTGGGACTGGAGACTGGAGATTTTACACTGCAGTGACTTGGAGGGCTAGAAATTGGGGATTTCATGCTACTTAAGGGACTTGAGAGAGGGGAACCCACATTGCTAGCATGGGCAGGGCTGTGTGACCGGGACCCTCGGTTCTCAACATTAGGGGAGCACGTCAGGGGTGTTCCCTGGGCGATGGGGCTGTGCACTGTGAAACTGCCAAAGCTAGCTGTGGTGGAGGACACGGGGTTGATTCCAGCAGGGCTGCAAACCGAAGATGTCATGTTCAGAGGGCTGCACACAGAGGGGCTCTTCTCATGACACATGATAGGGCTTTTCACAATGGCACGCAAGACCCCACCATTCATGGAGCTCCCACAGTCCGATACAAAGGACCTCAAGGGCCTGCTCACAGTACTGAGTGTGGAAGGGCGATGGCCATTTTCCTTGTAAAATTTCACCAGCTGCTCTACATTTTGATAAATCTTTGCTGGGCTCAGGCTTCCCTGTGGGTTCTGCTGATCGTAGGTATAGTCAGCATCTCTTATGGAATCCATGTATAAACCCATGGACTCAGCTACAGTAGCTGAAAGTTCCTTAGATTCCAGCTCAGTTTTAATATCAGATGTTAAAATCCCAGACCGATTATTGTCTTGCTGAAGGCAAGGGAGTAGTTCATGTTTTTCTTTGCTGCTTCCTTGAGTACTGTTGTTTGGAATAGCACCGGAAACACAGCTTATGTTGACAATCTCCATGTAGTTCTCATTGGTCCTCTCTGTAGGGCCCAGGGAAGAATGCTCTGGAGCCTGAGAAACTTGAGTCCACTGTCGTTCCATATCCAGACCTTCAGGGAGACTGGGGTAGCCTTTGGTCTCCATAGCTGACAAATAAATTTACATTACAAAGTTAGAGTCTGTAAAAAGCCGTTATCACCACACTAAAAGACTTCTAAAGTTTCCCTTTTAGAACAAACACACCTACATTTACTATATGCAATCCTAGGTATATTAAGACTTACCTTCTCAGGTGCTGAAAAGGATAATATTGACACTAACTCATCCAGAAACCCGGATAAGAAACTGAATAAAACTATTTTGCATCTAAATAAAAGTAACATATTTAATACATCCGTTGGAATTTGCAGAGGATATTTACAAATGCCTACTTACAGAAATATGAAATAACATTCAAAAGAATCCTGGGGATTGATGAGGCAGTCAAAGGAGAAACTGAGGACTTAGGATGTGGGGGACTCACTCAAAGTCAAATGCATAGTGACAGAATCTTGTGACACCAAGGCTTTTGGAGTTTTTTGATAGTATAGAAGCAGCTTCCCATGTCTAATATATATACGGCCTTGTTAAAAACTACATGGAAGCATAATCAATATTACCACTGCCAAATAGATACTTACCAAGTGAACTGTCATGGGAAAGTAAGTTAAGAATTATTTTTAGAGCAATAAGACTTAACTAAGGTAGATTAGTGGTAGAGATGATTTTAGGTCAACTTTCACAAGGAAAGGTTTATGTGTCCTCATTGAGTTGGTCCACAGGTGGATCTGAGAGGCTGCAGGAACATGAGGACCCTTCTCTGTATTTCAGCATCATCCAAGTCTCTTGACATGCCGTTGACCTAGTAATAACACTGCTAAAAAAGATTCCCAAAAGACAGATTTCTAGGCTCAATAAAAATGGAGGAAATCTGAGAGGGGTCCTAAAAATTTAAGCACTCATTCAATAAGATTTACCAATGGCAGAGTGCTTGCCTAGTATGTGTAAGGCCCTGGGTTCTACCCAACAACGCAAACAACATTTATTAAATGCTTGCTACATCCTGGGTTGAAAACCAATCACTAAGTCTGCTGTGATAAACAGGAACAGTCTCAGCCCTCAAGGTGCCCACTGGATTGTTTTTGATGCCTAATCTTATCCATTAGCTCTAACCCAGAAGCTTGGTTATAACTTGCTATGGTTACATAATTCTTATGCACTGTATAATTCAATACAATTTCACAAACCTTTTACATTCGTGTTCCTTACAAACAACTCTATACAGCTAGTAAAGGTATTATCTAAATAATACACATGGAAAAAACTAAAGCACAGGCCCCAGCACTAACAGGCAGAACTAGAGTTTTTTTTTTTTTTTTTTTTTTTTGCTTTTGATACCAGGAATTGAACTCAGGATCTTGCTTGCCAGGCAGGCATTGTGCGGCTGAGCCATATCCCCAGCTAAGCTGAAATTCGACCCTAGGATTTCTCTATTAGGATTTCACAACCTTGGCATTGTAGATATCTTGGATCAGACAAGTCTTCCTTGCAGAGCTCTACCCTGTACACTTCAAGGCCTTCACCATCTTCCCTGACCCACTAGATGTCAGGAGCACACACACACACAACACACCTACCCCCTGCCCAGGTCTCCACAACCAACACCTTCTCCAAACAATACCAAATGCCTCCACGGTGCAAAATCACCCCTACTTGATTAAAACTTTAAATCAACACTAGCACTTCCAAGAAACATATTTTCAGAAAATAAACTCATTTGCAGTAAAATTTTGAATTTTCAAAATGTCTAGAAAAAAATATCTACCCAGGCCTGATGGCACTAATCCCAGCATTCTGGAGGCTGGGCAAGCAAGACTGCAAGTTCAAGCCCCGCCTGGGCAACTTAGCTAGACCACTATTCCGAAACCTAAAAAAGGGGTAGGGATGCAGCTCACTGTGAAGGGCCTAGGTTCAAGCCCCGGTACTGTCAAAAACTAAATTAATTTAATTAAATATAAATAAATAATGAAAATAAAAGTCAGCCTGTATGCTTCAAGTCTGTAAACGATCCATAACTCCCGAGAAGCCCTGCCATTCTATAGCAGTTTTATATATGAGCATTGTTTTAGGCCTTTCACCCTTTCCCCTCTTGCAACTGACTACTTCTCTCCTCACCTTGCCCTCATTAAAAAAATGATACTTGAAAGTTCTTTTGCTGCAGAACTTATATTGACATTGAAAATACAGTAGCTCTACTTAATAAATTGTCATTAAACACCACAGGCTCCATAATGAAATTTAATGTCCAAATATTTTGAGTATAATTACTTCTTACTTTTCTGTATTCTACAATAGATTTTAAGTTCTGAGCAGGCAGAAACTATCAATTTCACTATTATGTCCCAGATGGGTAGTAAAGTGCAAATAAAAAGTGTTAAACTATTGTACAATAATCAATACTCAATTTGTGGACATTAAAACCTACCATTATGTTGCATGCTTTTACTTAAAAGAATATTATTCTATGAATTCCTAATAAAAAAATCAATCACAAAATAGTAGAAAATAAATCACATTACAAAGGTTGAGGTAGTTAGCCCTCCTCCAAAAATTGTTATGGATAAAAGCCAATCAAAAGTTTAGAGGGATAGCATACATTACCCAAATGGCTAATATTAGACTTGTTTGCTTTACTGAAAACAAATTAGTTATTGGTATGAGTTGAAAACCATAGCAATTATGTGCTTTCTCTAAGTGTACCTAAAAATACTGTGTCCTCTGCACATACCAAACATGAATGAATATATATTGTTATACATGTTCCCAAATTTATTAAATATTGCAAGCAATACGTGGATTTGTGTTTAGGTCATAATGTGTGGATCTCATGCTCCAATCCCCCAAACTCCATTTTTCCTCCTGGTGCACTGCACCATCATCCAGGCATCCCAAAGCCCGGGGTTACCCCTGTATCTGTACCAAAGGACTCCTCAGCACATTAGTGATTCCCACAATCATCACCCTTGGTTGTAGACAACAGTTCTCTGTGCACTGAGCAGGAAATGGGAATCCCCACCCAGGCCCTTCTCCAAAAAGCTACCCTCTCATCCATCACTCAAAAAGGATGGCCATTCAATGCACAGCGCAAATCTGCACGCTGAACCCCCTGGGAGACACACTGAAGAAATGAGTTTACTTTTTAATTTAGCCTTCTCCAGATACTTTGGCCACTGCACCCTTTTCTCACAGAATACCTCCTAACTCTCTTCTGACAGACACTTTTCCTCACTCTGCCAGCAAGCATGAGCTGTATGCCAGATCTGTAAGGCTTCAGGAGACTGAAAGACAAGCTGTGACAGAGACAGTGAGCATCCAGGTCTGTCAGCAAGCCCTGTACAAGGAAGCACTTTATCAGCCAACGTTGGACAGCTGATCACAACTTTCCAAGTCCTATTTCATAAGCCCTGCACTCTCTTAACAATATCATAAAGCAGCTGGTACTTCACCATGTTATTGACAGGATGAGCATTAAAGAATTTGCCAAAGGCTTTGCTGAAAATCTAAATTAGCTTTGTTGAAGGTACTCCCATGTACCAACTTCAGTACTTTCAACAAAGGAAATAGAGTAAAGGTTGGCAGCAAACATGAAATAATGGACAGTTAGCATCTGCAAGACTTCCCCTGTAAACATTTTTCAAAGATCAGACTTTCTTTTTAAAAAAATAGGATTATTGAAATATGCTGACTTCTCCCTATTAGTTTTATTAGTCTTTTTCTGTAAACAATTTTATCAGATTAGAAACTTATTTCCTAGGTTGTCCAGGAAATCCCAAGTTGTCTGGAGTGGAACTGGAAACTTGCTATTGAAGACTGAAAATACTAGCAGGTAAGTATGATCTTCATAGAATTTGACAAAGGATAAAATTTTAGTTACTCAAGTATAAGAGGAAGCAGATATCTAAATATCTTGATTAAAATCAGGTTTGTATGCCTCCCAATGGATACTATTCAACACATGCTTGAGACAAAAGCAAAAACCATTATGAATCGTGAATTTTAATATAAATGGCCTCCCCGAAATAGAAACTCACATATAAGTAGGAAAAGCTCTGACGGAGGTTCTACTTTAAAACACCCATGCTCTCATTTTATGTTTTACAGTCTGTGTTTAATGCTCTTTTCTGCAAGGAAATAGGTTCCCCCCGAATATGATTAAAGATGCTTGTGAATTTATACTTTATCTGAAATTATTTCAATTTTAATATTCCCCTCATTTTAGTGGCATCGTCTTCTAGTAATTTTACCACAATACGAAATCTTAGAGACTAAGCCTGAAGAATTTTAATCATTGCTAGGTTGCAGACTTTAAAAAGTGCTCTGTTAACTATTTTTCTCTCATTCTGTTCTTGAGAACTAGTGCCTTCCTCTCTTGCAAGTGAGGTAAATAGAAGAAATCTGCCCAAGGTCACCTAGGAGAGCAGGCGAACCAGCTAGAATTGAGCACACCGGATTTCCATTCACTCACCTAATTCATTGAGCCACCTGATCTTCTCAAAATCCCCAAACAAAACTATCTTCCCTTAAAGAAAAAAGTTCTACTGTAGATTTTTTTTTCTTAAAAACTTCCTAAGTATTTCCATGACAGTACATCTTGATTGCAAACATGAAATTAAAACTTCACGGCAAGTCTTCACAGATGGAGATCGCTGTTATCATAACTATATAAATACCAATAACAGACCCTACAGAAATGACGATATATTAACGAGCCAATTTGGTGCCTTTAAAATTCAGCTGTTCGTTTTTCGAACTCTTAGGATAAATAATTCAGTAACAAATAATGAAAACTGATGGTGCCATGCCATTACGATTTAAACCTGGTCTTCCACAATCCAGGAGGAAAAGCCACGCACCTAAAATTCAGCAGGGTAAGGATGCCACCCCCAGAAAGCACCATCCCTTCTCTGTCCTTACAATTCTGATGACACAGAAAGCATAGCCTCTCTCAAGAGTTTCGGGTAAACCTGAGAACGGGAAACGCACGAATTTTCAAAGCCCCTTCCACGCAGTCTGTCAGGATCTATCTCTCCTTCAACTGCCCTTATTCCGCTATACCTCCAGCTGAGATTTGGGAGCTTCCGCAATTGACAGAGGAAAAAAAATATTATTCAAACGTCCTTTAAGATTTGCACAAGGAAAAAAAAAAATCCCGAAATCTTTTTGGGGGAAAGAGAAGGGTGGCAGACCTCCCCACTGCCGGAGGCGGCTAGAGCTGCTCCTTAGAGGGCATTTATTCAAAGTGGCCAAACTTTCCCAAAATAGTCCTCTGGCGGCCAAAGGAGGGGAAAAAGTGGAAAAAACAAAACAAAACAACAAGCACACAGCACCATACTGCCCGTGCCTCCGAATTACGCAGCCACTTTTCCCTGCAAAGTGCACGCTCCGCGCCGCCGCTGCACGCCGCGCAGGGAGAGGCGCCCCGCCGCGCACCCCTACACACCTGCCGCGGCCGGGGTCCGTCGCTCGCCGTCTACCTGTTGCAGCGCTTGCCACCGCCGCGACACCCCTGCTGCGGAACCCCCCAACATTCAACCACATCCAGGCCGGCCAGTGCCGCTCTCCCGGCTGCGGGAGAGCCCGCGGCGGCAACGCTCCTGCACCCAGGTGACCGCACAGGCTTCCTCCCAGCTGCCTGAAGTTGGCCCGAGTCTCTCGGGCCCAATGACACCCCGGGCGCGGAGGCGCCGAGGGGAGGGGGAGGGGTTTGGGGTAGGGGCAGGGCCGGGGCGGGCAAAACGGGGAGGGAGAGAGGGAGGGTGGAAGGGAGAGAGGGCGGATGAAAACCCAGAGGGGTGTGGGCCAACTGGAAGGCCGGCCCTTTTAAAAGCGGGTCACATGTCCAGATAAAGTTCGCCGCTGCCCCGCCCCCCTGAGCCCTTCCCATTGGCCCGCAGGGAAGCAGGGCTCCAAGCCGCACGGGTCAGGCGAGCTTCTTATTGGACAATTGAGGCTGTCAGTCACCGGGCGGGCGACATGACTGATACAAAGTTGCTGCGACACAGCCTGGACTCGGCAGCTTCCTTAAAGCCGCAGCGCCGGCCGGCGTTTGGGATCCCGGGGGCTGGCGGCGACCCCAGCCCCCACCCCCTCACGCTGCCCTCTGCCCCCTCGGCCTGACCGCTGCGTTCTCGCGCTCGCCTACCTAGCTCTCCTCCCGGCCAACCCCTGGATATCTGGAGAGATGAGAAAAGTGTGGTGACGCGGAAGAAGTCGGTTTCTCCGCGAACAGGCGACGTGCTGTCTGTTCCCTCACGCTGTCCACCTGCAGCCCCAGGTGAGCGGCAGCCCGGACCCGGGGAGGGCCCCGGGTGCGCAGCCCGAGCCCCACGGTTCCTCTGCCCGCCCCCGCCGCGTCTCCGGAGTTACCTCCCGGCCGAGCAGCCGCAGTCTCCGCTGCCAGCGAGCGAGCAGGAGGATCACGTTCCCACTCGATTTGAATTTCCTTGTTTTAACCATGCAGGAAAAGCTGGTGATTTTGGGGCCGCCAAAACGTTTTCAACACAGCCTGCCTCCCCTCCCCCCAACGTGCCAAGGGGTCAAGAACTGTCACTTGCCTTCCTTAGTGTTGTTCTGCCCACTACTTCAGCATTGGATTTTTCCACTGGTCTAATAGGGAAGAAAGCTCTCTACCGAGGATATTCACTTTATAAAGAGTGGAAGGGGGGTGTGCACAGAATTGGGATAAACATACAGACGGAGGAAAGGAACCAAACTCTTTCCCAAGGATCAGGTGTCTGCACCAAGAAATTTCCGTTTCCCTTTACAGCCCTCCCCTCGATTCCCGCCCACCCAAACCCTGCAGTCACCAAGTAAAGGGACAGGCCTGCTTCTTAACTTTGATTTCTAAAGACTTTATGGCGCCTCCAAATGAGGTTCCGTTTCAGGCTCCAGACTGGCCCGGAGTCAGCATCAGTGACGTACACACCTAAATCTGGTCCCCCAGCCCTCGGCGACCCGCAGGCCGGCGGCGGCAGCTGCGTGGCGCCCGCCCAAGCCTTGGGGGAGGAGAAGCACCCAGTTCCCTATGGCCCCTCCTCCCCTTTACAGTTCGTGGAGCTTCGGGATTCCCGACCCCGAACCCAGGGGGACTCGAACTCTCCGCCGCCCGGGCCCGGGAACTCCCTGGTGGAAGGGGCGACAGCAGTAGTGACGGGAAGCTGGGCCCCAGTCCGGTGCCCCGAAGTCCCCGGCGTGGGGCGGCCCTCGGCGCCCCCGCACCCAGGAATCCCCGCCGAGCGTCCCAACTTTCCCGCGGGGCTCCGCGTCACCGCCCTACACGCCCGCGGAGCCGCCGGGCAGGGATCGCCCCTGGCCACGCGCGGGCGGCTCGCGGGAGCTGGAGTCGTCCGGGACCTGCGCAGCGGCGGCAGGGACTCAGCCAGCGCAACCAAATTATTCATTATTAAAGAAAAGGACGTGTCTCTTTTACTAAGTTTTTCACTTCCTTTGGGGAGGGCTCGTCCTGCCCAGAATCTTAGCCTCTTGCAAAATCTAGGTTAGAACGGTGCCAGGGCAGCCTCCGCGCTCGCGCGCCCTCCACCTGGCACCCTTGCTCCAGGCGGCCTCGCGGGCACCGCACCTCCAGCCCGCAGCCCAGCGCCCTGCGGCAGCCCGCGCCCTCTGCCCTCGGCGCGGACCCTGCCAGCCCCCGGCCGCCCTGTGCTCCGAGGGCCCCCTCCCGCCGCTGTCCGCCAAAAGTGACGGGCCCTGCACTCACCTTTTCTAGGACATGGTGGGGAGGCTGGGGCGGACGGAGGGGGGCAGCCTGACACCCGCCGCCACCACCGCCACCAGCAAGTCCAGTGTGAGCGGCTTGGCAGTGAGGATGGAGAGGATGATAATCCCGGCGGTCGCCCTACTAACGGTGGGTAGCGCGACAGAGCAGGAGCGCTGGCACACGCAGGAGGCGGCGGCGCCAAATCGCTTAGAGGGGGTCGTGGACACCCGCCCGCCCCCTGCAGGCCCCTGGCCCCGGGCTCCTGGTCAACCTCCCTGGTGTCCCAACGATCTGGGAGCCGGCCAGTCCGGCCGCCTGGCTCTCGGCGCCCCCGGCCCGGGCCTGGGGTGGCCAGTGACAGCTCGGCGGCGGCGGAGCGCGCGCGTTAGTGTGCGTGTGTGTGTGTGAGTGTGGGGGCGGCCGCAGGGGGAGCCCGCGACGCCACGGCCCCCTCCCAGGGTCACACCCTCCCGGCCGGGAGGAGGCAGCACAGCGTCCAGCCACGAGCTGGTGGGAAACTGGACGGGGGTCGCCAGTGACTGCCCCCCAGCTCCAGCCGCTGACAGGAGGCCGAGAGAGAACAGAACCCAATTGCAGTGCCCCCGTGGCGCCCCCCGCTATGAAGTCCGGCCGGGACCTCTCGCCGGGCCTCAGGTGCGGGTCCCACCCGCAGCGGGAGGCGATGGCTGGGGACCACGCACGGGGCCGGGAGGGAAAAGTTTCTTTTCCTGCTCCGGCGCTGCCCACCCAGGGAGGCTACTGCTCTCCCCGCCTTTCGCAGGCTGCAGGCGCTTGCGCCCCACCCCCACCGCGCCGTGGGGGGGCCCGAGGAGGGGCGGGCGGCGGGTGTCTGCGCGCGGGGGCGTGGAGGGAGCGCGGCGGCCGCCGCCGGTCCCCTCGTGCTGACGGCGGCACAGACGCCCAGCGCGGTGAGCTCGGAGCGCTGCTGGGAGCCAGGACCCCTCCCCCGCCGCGCGCCCCCGCGCCGCCCCGCGCGCCCCCGCGCCCTCGCGCCAGCCCCGGCAGACACCTACGCAGATGCGAAAGTGAAAGGGGGGGACCGAGCTGGCTGCTGCGGGGTGGGGGGAGGGCTGGGGGTGCGCGGAGCGAGGCGCCCGCCCAGCCAGATCGCGGGGCTCTCCCGTGCCCGCAGCCTCTCCTAAGTCCCCAGCCTCCCCCCGCCAGGCACACTAGTCTTCGTCGTCTGGAGACGAGTGTGCGCGTGAGGGTGCGCGCGGGTTCGCTCTCACTCGTGGGTGTGCGAGCCTTGTGCCCCAGACTTGGCCACTGCCGAGTACCCCAAACCCTCGGGTGGAGGGAGTGCGAGTGTCACTGCCATTTACGGACAGGTTCACCTGCTTGTTCTTCTTTATGACTCAAATCCTGCGAACTCACCGCGCGCACACCGCTGCTTTGGGGCTGAACACGCCTTTTCCTACAGTTTCCTACAGGCTTTATGCCCCCACCTTTCGCCCCCACGCCCATCCCCAGTTCTTTCCAGGATTGTTGTAAATAGCTGGGAAAGTTGCTTCTTTCTCCCCACAGAACAGGGGTAAGCAGGGAGCTGCCCTGAACCACCAGGGTCCTCCTCTCCTTCAGCTGTGGGCCCATCGTGGGAAGGCAGAGCTTCCCACTGCTCGTCAGCCACTCCACTCGAGGGCCGTGGCATTTTGACCAGCAAAATGAGTCTTGCCCTGTTTCTTACGTGTGGGAGTGGCGACCAGGTTAATATGATACCGTGAAGATAACAGGTATCTGAGGTGAGATCAAGAAAATATTTAAGATATTTTCACAATTAACATAGTATAGTTTTAAATTACCTTTGTAAAGAAGTACACACTTAGAAGAGGTCCACATACCCAGTCTGAAAATGAATAAAAAAGAAACTGCGTTGACATTGACTGACTGATAAAATGGGCAAAGCACATCTAACCTGTGGTAAGGTGTTTATGGAGGACTAGGGGCTGGGGATACAGAGGCTCCCTTGGCTTCTCTGCAGGTTTGATAAAATGCTGCATGGAAAGAACCTACCCCTTCAGGTGACATATGGAATGTAAATGCCATTTTCAAAGTAGAACATTGGACTTTGGTGTTTCCCTCCACTATTACAAAATTATTTGCTATAAAATTATTTACCTAGCTATTCCTACCATTATTTTAATCAATTTCAATTTTAGACAACTTGATCAAACTACAGTGTAAAGGGTTACTAGAGGAGCAACATCTTAGAAACTTAATTCTTTTGGGGGGGGCAATTTCACAAATTTTGATTTCCCTGACTTTAAAATAGTTTGGAATTAAAAGATTAAGTAAAAAACTATATATATATATATATATATATATATATATATATATATATATGTTTTCCATATAAAAATAGTGGAGAAAGAAGCTTCCATATACCCACATATGTCAGTTTCTCTCATATCTTTGGAGGTATGTTAGGGATCTTGCGATTATTGACAGGCAAAGTTGTGTTAGATTTTGGTGTCTGCGTACAGTATTTTAGACATCTGCCTGTATGTTGGAAGGGCATATGATTACATTTCCTTCAAGCATCCACTTTTCCCTTATTTAACCCTCCCGGCTCTCTGAGACAAAAGCTGGGAAGAAAGGTGCCTTGGTCTTGTTCTAAAGTGAAGGTGAGGTGGGTTTTGCTTGGAGCCCACTACTCCCAGCGCTGCATTTGAGAGCTCCTGACTCAGAAGAGAAGGCAGAGCGCTCAGGTTGTTAGTATTCCTCATCCTCATGCCGGTTCATGAAGGCGTCCATCCACTTAGTTAATTAAGTGTGTGCCTGAAAGTGTTATTATTTGCTTGCTTTTAAAACTGTCTCTTAATAAAGTTTGTGCTTTACAGCCTTGTAGACAGGCACATTTGTTCTCTGCAAAAAGAACAATTTTGCAAAAAAAAAAAAATTAATTTAAAAAAGAAAAGACAAGCACAGAAAAAGGATCTTCACTTCATCTCCTATAAGCTGCCAAACAGCTTGAAGCTGAAAGCAGCATCAGACATCTCTCTTTTGAGGATTGTTCACCCTAAGTTCACAGTCTCTGAACCTGGGCGCACCTCCCTCCCCCATCCCATTAGTGTCAAAAGCCCTGAGGTTTGCCTTGGCACGACTCAGTGTTTGCAATTTACATGTGTGACATCATATCCTCTATTATGTAACTTCGGATACAAAGCCTAATATCATCTAAGTTTGTGTGGGAAAAAAAATCCTCTCTAGCTCTTTATTTCAGCGTTGGTAGACCCACCCTTTAGTCCTCCGTCCCTAATTCCATTTCTTCAACAGCTGACACAGAGGGAGGGAGGCATAGAGTTGTTTAATCTGTAAAATCGTAAGCCAAAAAATATTAAATGTACTTTGAAATGTGTTACGTAGCTCTCCTTTATGTCTTTATCTAGTGACAAGAAAGCCATTAGGTATCGTATAATTTCATTGTGTTAAATAATTTTTAAAACCTAAAGCCTAAATCATTTAGTCATAGTTAACTTCATTAATAAGCCTAGCCATGCTGGCATTTTTTTTTTTTTTCTTTCTAAAAAGCTTGGATTTTTTCCCCTGTCTCTTACCAGCTGTTGGAAAGAGTTGAGAAAGACAGGGAGAGACAAGAGAGAAAAAGGAGGGGGTTGACAGAGAAGATGAATAGGGAAATAATATAAGATAGAACTTCTTTGTTTATTGCAAAACACACATGTTGCAGTTTATAAACATTGCAAGCAAAATAAGAAATTGTGGACGAGAAGATAAATACAAAACATATCAGAGTTTTTGTTAGTAACCCAAATAGCTCAAACTCAATTTTTAAGACTTTTGTGGTATTTATATTAGCTCTCTTTACTCATTAATTTCTGGATATGTTTACCTAAGTATTTATTTGTCTGTCTACCTCAGTAGCATTTGTAGGCGGTTTAAATGGAAAATATACAAACTTAGTACATTTCTATGGTCAGTTTTTGAGATGACGGAGCCCCAATGGCACATGCGTCACAATTAGTGTGCCATATTATTAGAAGCAAATCAGATTTCACTGTGCCCACACTCAGATTCTAAATTTAGAAATTATATACTGTAGTTGAAAAGCGGGTGGGGGGGAGAGCCTGAGCAGTATATTTTAATAAAAATAAAGACATTTTCAATATCTCCTATTTCTTGCTCATATATTCTTGTTTTAGTAGAGGGAATTCATCACCTTTAAGTAACTGTGCTAATCTTACACAAATAACTGCATAGTTTGGGTGTTCATTAGAACTATGTGCCAGGATGGTTTCTCTGGTATTATGTGCAGTTCACAACCACAACCACACACACACACACACACACACGAGTGAAACAATCCACTGGGTTAAGTGCAGGAAATGTAAATCTGTATTGAACTCAATGAAAAACTCATTTAGAATTTTTCATTAGGACTTCACAGGAGCAGTTAGCTTTTCAGTAGTTGGCGCTATATTTTTAGCAGCATTTTAACAGCTGTCAGTAACAACTAAGACAACATTTTGATCAACACTATTTTTTATTCCAGCAAAGATGATTACAAAAAATCTAAAATGCTCAAAGATTTGAGCGCTTAGAGGCTAAAAAAGAAACTATTTTGATACAAAATGTCACTAATGTAGTGGAGAATAAGGTCATCACATCCAGTGAGGCTGCATGGAGTTTTTACATTTTCTGATGATTAGGTACCCATAGTAAAGATGTGTTTATACTGAAAGACTGTGGTCAAAGTCAGAAAGGGAAACATCAGAATAAGAGAGTGCACAGTGTGTCTTGTCAGGCACTTGCAGATAGGTCAAGAATAGCCATGTGGCTGGCCACACTTAATAAAATCTTTTCCCTAAGGTTAAAGTTAATAAAGGGAGGTTATCACATGTCAGATATATGACACTGGAAACTGCAGACAGAAAAATGTAAGAAGCTTCGTGACAGATGTCATCATTATCCTAAAGATAGAGGTAAATTTGCTAAGGGTAATGCATTACAAAGCAAACTAAAACTAAATCTCTGAAAGTGTCAAGTTTCTTTTTCACCTGTAGTCTTTCCAAATTGAAGGATTTTTGTACCCAGGGAAGTAGTGGCAATGGTATAAAACCTAATGAGTCATCTTATTCAGATGTCATCTGTTCATTTCAAGGATCTAATCCAAGTTTGAGTTTGTCCCAACAAAAGCAGCTGAGTATTTCCAACTTTGTCTAGTTGGCATAGTGGAAAATCAATGCCATTCTTATCTCCAGTGGTCTTTTTTTATTATCCTGCATTTTGTTCTCTAACTCTTTTGGGATTACCAATCTATTGGCTCTTTCAATATGGAATATTTTTAATTATGTGTCAGGATATTTTCTTCAAATCATGTGCAATTTTTGTGAAGATTGAGGTTAGAGGTCATTCCCATTTTACAAATGCAAACTCCCCACCAGGTGTAAATCTTTAGGTGTTGATAGTTTTTCACACAGTACTGTATAGATTTATTAATGCAACATCTTTGATGTTAAATATGCAAGGTTTTTTTTTTTTAATCAGTACCAGGGATCGAACTCATGACTGTGTGCTTGCAGGCAGGCGCTTATGCCTCTGAGCTAAATCCCCAGCCCCAAATATGCAAGTTTAAAGAGAACCATGTATATTTTCTATATGTGAGGCATGTATACTGCCATATTAATATTTAAAACAGATGATTTTTTTTTTTTACTTCATGCTTCCTATAGCTAGTCTTGTTTTTTCTTGTTTTTTTTTTTTTTTCTTTTTCTTTTGTCTTTTTCCTTTTTATCGGTACAGGGGATCGAACTCACGACTGCCTGCTTGCAAGGCAGGTGCTTATGCCGCTGAGCTAAATCTCCAGCCCCTAGCCTTGTTTTTTCAAAACAGGTAGATATGTTTCCTTTTAACCTGGTTGATTACGTTTAAAATGCTGAATAACAGGTTCAGGTCACTGTTCACCTGCTGTCATGAATATTCATAAAGCAAGTGTCATTACTATTGAGGATTTTAACCTGTGCTTCATTTTCATTTTTCATCCAATCAAAAGGAATATTTCATCAATTGGATATGTTAAACGACAAAGCCATAATGGCAGTTCCTTCTTTTGCCTTTTTAAATCTGGTAAAATACATGTAACAAAAGTCACCTTCATAACCTTCTTTAAAATATACAATCAGTGGTATCAAGTATGTTCATGTTGGTGTCGTACCATCGCCACTATTCTCCAGAATTCATTTCATCCTGTAAAATTAAGCATCCCTAAATTTTAGTTAATTATTGCATGAGAAGATTTTCATTATTTTTCCAAATACCAGGCTTCCTGTTTTCTTCTATAACAATTATATGCTCTCATTAACAAATTAAGTTGGCATTGTAGCACTTTACTTCTTTAAG